CGTATTCAGGAGGTCAAACTACCCCAGGAGACAACATTTGAGCCAAATCTGTCCACGGAGAAAAAGTCGGTCAAAAACTGGCTCAATTCCGGATGATTGGGGCAGTAAAGGGTGAATTCATGTCCTTTGGGTATAATGACTGAATGAAGGATCAGAAAAAATATGAAGAACTTCAAGAAACATGCAGTGTTCTGTGAAGTGCGAAGTTGAAAATGTGGAAAAATAATGAACGGGAAAGCCTAATGAATTCAGTGGAAGTCAAATGTAGTGGTTCAACCATTTTTTTCAGTGCATCTCAAGGGGACGAAAATTGGCTGCAATGAAGGAGGATGTGGAGCATGTACCGTAATGATCAGCGAAATTAACCCCGTCAACAATGAAATACGGTAAGCAGCAATACGTTAAGCGGCAGTGTCATCTCACTAACTTGCCTCAAATTCAGTCTTCTGACTAGTTAGAGACTATTCCACATTGATTGTATGGGCGGATTCAGTTAGATAACTCTCCTGCCTGAATGCAAGGCTCTACGAAAGTCCAGCAATTTCAGACACTATTCTGCTAACTCCTGTTTAATGCCCATATGTGCAGTTTTCGGAAAAGCCGTCACTACCGTAGAGGGAATCGGTTCGACCGTCAACAAGAAACTGCATCCTGTACAGGAACGATTAGCAATGTATCTTTATCGAATATTTCAATAATTTTCTCTGCTATAGTGAACTACTTATTTATAGAACCCATGGCTCCCAATGCGGTTTCTGCACACCAGGCTTTGTCATGGCCATGTATGCTTTGTTACGGAACAACCCCACACCTAGCGTGGCTGATGTGAATGAAGCTCTTCAGGGTCAGTTCTGGTTTCTTATGCTTTACGAAAGGAAGAAATTGGTGAGAGGTACAAAACAAAACTAGAGCTTATCGGTACTAAAACAAATATTTTTTGATCACTGTTGTTAGGTGAGAATGAAGAACATAGAGCTTCAAGAAGAGTCATGAGAAGGCTGAGTGATGAGCAAAAGTTTTAGATCACCTCTTGGTTTACGGGTGGGTGTGGTGTTCGTTATGTCGCCCCTTTCTGTCTCAGCTCAGCAGCTTTTATGCCGCAGTCTTACAGCACAAAGCGATGAGTCGGTTGACCGATATGGTAGCGCACTATAGGCAGTTGAAGGCATAAGGCGCCATAATTTGGCAGTCCTGTCAAAAAGCTTTCGTTCTACAGACTCAGAAAGCAATTTTGGACGAGTTTCCCGTTAGCATCGTGCCAATAACCGCTACGGTGGATACGGCAGCATGTACTGTCCTCATCATTACGGACTGTCGGGGCGTGTCAGCCAGTAGGAGTGCGCACACTGTTGAAGCCGTTCTCAGCCTTTTTGTTGAAACGCGTATGCGACAAAAAGTGGTAGAAAACGAGTAATACGAAGGATATAATACAGTAATGTCACTTGCCCGCTTCAACAACTGAACGACTTTGGCACCGCGCCAAACGCAGCCGCACTGACACGCCCCACCGGTCCGTAATGATGAGGATTGTATGTACTCACATATCCATGCAGCACCGGACCGCTTCTCAATACCCCTTCGCTTCATATTGTACTTCGCAATTGAAGAGATAGAGCATCAGTATCGGCCGGACATTTGTGGGCGTCCGGGTCGGTAAGTTGCAGCTTCATAGTTAGCATAAGGCGTCGAAAGCGCCTGCTTGGTGGCGCCGAAGTCCGTCCCGCTAAGGTATCAATCCTACAAAGCTTGGTGGTTTATCGTGCCACATGCCTTCGAAGCGATCGTACGCGCAGCGATGAGTCGATCGACCGATATCGGTTGGCACTTAATGTTAGGGGCTTCCGTGGCGTGAAGTTGTTAGGTAAAGGCGCTAAGGAGCAACGTGGATCCACTGACACCTCCTTTTTCCAATGACCCGGCATCCAGACCCTGTGTGCGAAGTCCGTTATGGGTCCGAACGCTGCTGAACTGGACCATTGTCCGTGTGGGGTTGTAGGGTTCATTACAAGGGATCAACTGGCTGGACACGCCCCAACATGCGGACATTTGGCCTTATGCTCGCACAAGTGCCTAAGGTCAGTGGGATCCTAATGAGAGGCTTTGTCAATGTTTTCCTTTGCATTTTTCCAAGTGACGTGTCTTCTGACATTCTCTTACATATTTCAAAATCACTACCTACACTTTTTATGGCGGACCTATTACCCAAATCACGTATCCGTTGGGTACCATTAAGAGAAGAGAATCCTCATCCTCAAACTGGGGTGCAGCTAATAGGTGACAGAAAATTGTTGTTCATCCTCAAGAGCTTCTTCGATGTGCACAAAATTGACGTGTTCAAGAGAAAAGTGATTTTTTTGTGGTAAAGCTACATTTTCTCTAGGAAATCTCTGCCGATGTACTGGATATCGACCAATTTTGGAGGCTTTCTATAGTTTCACTGTCAAAGAAAATGGTGACATGAAGGTGAGTGCTGATATCTCAGTACTACGGAACAAAGCAGTACTGACCAGTTCAGGTAACTGAAAGTAACGGGTGCGGAATGGGCGAAAAGTGCTGCAAGGTGACGAAAAACGGATGTCCTGCTGGTGAGGTTAGTTTACTGCGCCAATTTAGATGACCTATGAAAAACAGGCTTATTCATGCAGTTAGAATGCAATGAAAGTGACAAACATATTAACCTTCTGAATCGCAGGGGGG